TCATTGCTGATCAGGTTGGAATAAGCACAAGCCGAATTCATGCCAGAGGTCCTGTCGGAGTTGAAGGATTGTTAACCAATAGATGGTAAGGAATTCTCCAATGCCTCTTTGTTTTTGTTTATTCAAAGAAAATACAACATTAACTGAACAAACATTTGCAATTATTGATGAATTTTCTAGCAATTAAGCTTGACTAAATCATACACTATAATGCAGGATATTGAGAGGTAGTGGGCAAGTGGTAAATGGTGATCGAGGGATCACTTATACTTACAAGGAACTACCAATTAAAGCATAAATGTGCAGCCAGAGATCAGTTTAAGCTACTTAGGATTATTGTTGTTCACCTCATTAAACCAGAAGCAATATTTCTGTTCTATTTTTCATGTACGGAAGTTGCTGTGGTGCGGGCAGTGTATATCTTAACTACCATTTACCCCTCTCCAGATTTTTTTTTTCTTTCCTGGAACATGCACAGGGGAAATAATGTTGAGAATATGCCTAAAGATTTTAGGAGAATAAGTTAGTTTTTTATAAGAATCTTTTTTTTTATGTTTCAAATATTTAGATTTAGTTTTTTTTAGATTATTTTAGGATTTATTTCTTTATTTTTAGAATAAGATAATATCAATATTTGATCTTGTATGACAAATTTTCTCTATAAGTAGAGATTTCATGAATAAAATTAGATTATGTTCTTCAGATAAAAATTATATCTTTACAAAATATAAATATAAAATAATCCATCATTGATATTAGAGCTAAGGTTACGACCTATAGAGATGGAAGCAGAAACAAACTTTTCACAAATTTCCCCACCTAATTTTGATGGAGAAAGTTATGATCTTTGGGCGATGAGAATGGAGACATATCTAAAAGTTTTAGATCTATGAGAAGTTATAGAAGAAGATTATGATGTTTTCGCGTTGCCAGGCAATCCTACTGTGACCCAAATGAAAATTCACAAGGAAAAGAAAATTAAGAAGGCAGAGGCAAAAAGTTGTCCCTTTGCATGTGTTTCATAAAATGTTTTCCCTAGAATCATGACTCTTAAATCGGTAAAAGCAATTTGGGATTATCTAAAGGAAGAATATGTTGGAGATGAAATGATCCGAAGCATGCAAATATTAAATTTAATGAGAGAATTTGAGATACAAAGAATGAAGGACATTGAGACAATCAAACAATCCTCAAACAAATTGCTTAGTATTGTTAATAAGGTACAATTATTAGGAATGCAATTTCTTGATTCTAGAATTGTTGAAAAAATTCTAGTAACTATACCTAAAAGATATGAAGCTTCAATAGTGGCCTTGAGTAAAATCACTTTGGCAAAGGTGTTACATACATTGCAAACATTAGAACAAATGAGGCTTATGAGACAAAAAGTAATTGTGGAGGGTGTATATTTAGCCAAATGAAAAAATAACAATGGTGGCAAAAACAAGAAGAAGGAATTGTTCCAAGAGAATAGTTAAAATAATAGCACTAAAATTTTTCCACCTTGACCTTATTGCAAAAAGACTAATCATCTAAAGATGTTGGTAGAGACTTGATTCAAAATGTAACAAGTGCAAATAATTAGGACACCTAAAATATGTATGCAAATCTCATGAGCAACAAGAAGAAGTCAACATTACTAAAGATCAACAACAAGAAGAAGAACAACTACTTTCAATGTCATGTTTTATGACCAAAAAAACCCTCAAAAGCTTGGATTATTGATAGAGAACTCTTCAAAGAGCTCAACAAAACTGATATCTCTAAAGTCCAAATGAGGAATGGAGCACACTTTACAGTAAAAGGCAAAGAAACAATTGTTATTAAAAGTCATTCGGGTTTGAAATTATTATATGATGTTTTTATATGTTCATGATATTAATCAAAATTTGTTGAGTGTTGCACGGTTGTTGGAAAAAAGCTATAAAGTATTATTTGAAGATAAAAATCGTGCGATTAAAGACATAAACAATAAAGAAATGTTCAATGTTCATATGAAAGACAAGAGTTTTGCTTTAAATTTGGAGAAGGAGGAGCCAATTATAAATGAAGATACAAGTGAAGAGCACAAATATGCATGTTTTCAAAAGAAATTTGATGATCAAGAGGAGAATGAAGATAATGAAAAATCACCTTCGAAAGAGAAGTTTGAGACAAATGATAAAGTGGTTTCACTCAAGAAGGATTGTAATAAAAATCACAAAAAGAAGAAACTGATCAAAAAGAGAAAAGATAGATTTTGAAATTCAAATTTAAATTAGGTGATAAAGATATTCAGTCGAGAAGGAGTGTTGGGAATGTACATAAATATTTTTAGGAGAATAAATTAGTTTTTATAAGAATCTTTTATTTATGTTTCAAATATTTAGATCTAGGCTGTTTTGATTATTTTATGATTTATTTTCTTGTTTTTAGAATAAGCTAATATCAATATTTGATTTTGTATGACAATTTTTTTCTATAAATAAAGACTTCATCAATAAAATTATATTATACACTTCTGATAAAAATTATATTTTTACAAAATACAAATAAAATAATCCATCAAATAATAACTGCATGAAGGATGTTATTCGGCTATCTACTCTCTTTTTTTTTTCTCTTTATATATATATATAAGTACTACTTGAGATTGTGATACAGCAATGCATAGATAAAATGAAATATATATATATTGTTGGCACAGACCATCTGAAGCGGTTCATATTCTTGTGAAGCTGAATATTTATACTTTTGTTATTCTTCTAGATAATCTGTCTAGCTTGTATTATCAGTAAACAATTACATAACCCTGAAAGCAAATGGTGTCACTTGAGGATTGTCTACTACAAAGTTTAGACTGCATCGCGGTTGAATTAAAAGATGTAACTCAATTTCTAAAGGAAAATGCATAAAGAAAATATGGATCCAGGCTAATAAACCTTTAACATAATGGTTTGTCGATTGTGTATAGAAGGGACAGAGAAGCTCAAAATGTGTTTGATATAATGCTATAATGACTAGAATAGGTCAGAAGCCTGATATTGTTACTTAACAATGCTTTAATAGATGGATGCTTTTAAGACTTGAGATAGCTTCGTGGCTATTTGATAACCTGGACAAAGTGGGTGTAGCACTTTAGTTGGACACTGTAGAGAGAGACCAAAAAATAACATAAGACACCATGCCAAGATCCTTAACATTGATTTTAATCTACTTGTTCATGATTGTTAAATTGGACACTACAGATTTTTCAATTCGTGAGGATCATTTCCAGTTGGACTTATCCTATATATTTTTCACTCCACAAACTTATTAATGAAATGCTGACAGGTCTCAATCCCCTAGCATTTTAAGCTACAATATCTTGTTTGACGCTTTTTTGCAAGAGCAAACAATTAACTTGACGATCAAGTTGATTAGTTCTGAAGATTGTTTGTCATGGAATTTGTCTCTTTTGTCCATTTAAAACATAGGTTAAATTATTCAATTGGTTTCTATAAGTATCCTCGTTATAAGTTTTAGTCCTTGTACGAAAAAATAGTAGGTTTTAGTCTTGAATAATTTTTGTGACATTTTATGGACGCCAGAACATCTCTATATCTCTCTATATAGGGACTAAAACACAAAACAGGGGCAATTATAAAGAGCAAGTTAATACTTTAATTTAAATAATAATAAAAAATACTTATAACGTCTGTAGTTAGACGAGAGCATTTTCAGATTCTTTTAATAGGCTATCGTCCAAATGTTGGAAATTAGATTGCTGCCAAACCAAGTAATGTTGCAGTTAATTAACCATGAGTAAGATCTAGTATTTTAGTTAAAAATGCTAGGTGGTGACAAGATTTATATAAGGCTAATTCAGAAAACAACTAATATAAAAGTTCTCTTTGCTTTGAATATTTAAAGTCTTTTTTTTCTTTCTTTATTTATTTATTTATAAGGAATCTATTTTTAAGAGAATAGATTTTTTACAATTTTCAAACAAAATAAAATATTTACGTTAATAATTAGTATAATAACGGTTGTCATCAAAGCTTAATGTTGATTATTGAAGTAAAATGCTAATTTTAATTGGAAAACAAAATGAAAAATATTTACAACGTGTTTGTTTCTCCTCATATTTTTAATTTTAATGGTTTTTTTTTCTGAAACAATTTGCACACTGTTCAACAATCATATTCTCATCCCAAATCTACTAAATATTGATTATTTTTTTTAAATAAGTGTTTTAAAAAGAAAGTACTCGGGAGATATTTTCTCATGTTCTTCTATTTTCATTTTTCCTCACATATTTTAAGCAACCTTATTTTTTTTTCCTTATTCGGTAGAATCAAACTCAGTATTAGGAAATTTAAAAAATGTTCAACCAACTAAACCTTTAAACTCAGTAATATAAATCATACTGTTCAACTAACTAAATTATATCTCTTATTAAGTATTTCCTTTTACTTAAAAAAAACACTCATATTAAGCAACCTGGTTTAGTTGTATTTTAAAAGTTAATCACAGTTTTTTAAACAGAAATGAAGCAGGACCCTTAAAAGTCCTTTGTCTAAATTTTGTCCTTTTCGAAATACTAAAAAAAAAACTGTTATCAATAGTAAGCATTATTCTACAGTTGGTTTGTATAAGTAGGTAATCCAAAATTCCAAATGGTATCTTTTTTGCTTTCGGTACATAGAAAGCCAAAATCTTTTCTTTCGGGTTATAATTTTATCTTAGAGTCTGAATAAGTTATTTAAATCAGATTCATGTTGAAGGACCAATTCTTTTCTTTTTTAAGTTTATTGAGCCTGTATACAAAGGAGTAAAGGTTGACAGAATGCTTGAAGCAAAACGAAATGCACTAAGTAGAACTTTCACCATAGCTATGCAGTAAATATAATCTTTTCAGCCAAGTCTCAAGCTTTCTCTAGTTATAATATGCTTTTTGTAAACGACTGCAAGTTTGTTGAACAAGGTCTATTTTCCCCTGTCAAGGGATATCTCTTTGCCTCCTAGATCAAAGACTAATATCGTTTGTAATATTGTGATTATCATTGATCAGAAAAGTATTTCTTTACAGTGAGAATCGAACACAAGTTTCTCTGCTAAATAGATATTTTTTCACGACTTAGTGCAAAGTGTTTGATCACTATCCAAAAGTTTATTGAATGTCTCAAACAATTAAAGAATGAGTCAAATATTCTTCTGTTCATATGTGGAGATTGACATAAAGCCCAGAGAGGGGTGATTGTCTTTGCACATGACAAATGTTGGAAGAAAGACATTCCTATAATGTGCATTAGGCAATAGTAATTCCATGTCAAATTACATCCTGAGATTCGTCAGAAATAATCTGCATTTCATGTTTCTCCATCCCATAATTCTTCAAGACTTTTGTAAGGACTACAAGTTTCATGGACTGCGGGGTCACCTCGAAGTAACCTTTGCTGCAATATCAGCAACAAACAAATGAATAGACTGAGAAAAAAAAATGTTGTATACAAATCATGCACAAGAATGAATAATTTGTGCGTTTCAGAGGCATTCCAACCTGGTGAATTCGTGATAATTTGGAGAAGAGCTCAGGAGGAATGCACCAATCAAACAAACTAAGGTTCTCCTTGATCCTAGATTCATTTACACTCTTTGGAAGAACACTGTGGCCACTTTGGAGTCCCCACCGCAAAGCCACTTGTGCTGGAGACTTGTGAAGCTTCTCAGCAATTTCAATCAACAGTGGTTCCTTCAAGACTTCCCCCTTTATCCATGACCCTGGAGAGCCCAAAGGAGAATATGCCTGCATGGAAAAAGTTGTTGGTTTTTAACAAATACACAAGCAACAAAACCTCAATTATATAAGGTATGTTTAGATAAACTTCTACATAAGCACTTCAACAAGAAGAATATAAGAAGAAAAAAAAATTCTCCACAAATTAAAACTAACTTATGCATAAGTTAGAAGCAGATTTTTGGAGAAGCTGATATGAGACAATCTCAATTACATTGAATCTGTCTGCATAAATTTCTTCATAAACACTCCTCTTTTTATTACAAATCCATAAACACTCTTAAGAGAAGAAAATAAGAAATAAAAATAAAATAAATTTCTCCACAAGTTAAACTAACTTATGCAAAGTTAAAAACGAGTTTTTGGAGAACCTAATATAAGAGAGCTTATACATAAACTAATTTTGGCTTCTAGAAAAGTTTATTTCGTTTTTCCTTCTCCTATAAATACTTTCGGAGAAGTTTATTTACATAGACTCATAATACAGGATCAGAGAAACATCATTTAGATCAGTTAGAGTAATACTGTGAGATGAACACCAGTAGACATGCACAAATTGTGAAGAGCAGGTTGCTGCCACACTGGGTGGCATTCAACTTGGTTAACTGCTGGTGGAATCTTAGCATATCCAAGCAAGTCCTGCAACTTCTTAGTTGAAAAGTTGCTCACACCAATTGCACGTGCCTGACCTGAGGCATACAAACCTTCCATTGCATTCCATGTCTCTGGAAGACACAAGGGAGCCATAATCTCAGGGTCCCAACCTCTTGAACCTAGCTTTGTCCTAAAAGGCCAATGCATCTTTGACAAAAATAATTCTTATCAAAATCATCAAATTTTATTCAACCGTCTCCAGTTTCAGTATCAGTATCATTGCAGAGACAGTTTTAAAATCAAGAATCGTACAAGATATAAATCAATGTAGTCAAGCTGCAGGTCCTCAAGAGTCCTAGTCAGTGCCTTTGAGACATCTTCAGGTGCACAGTCACTGGTCCTGTATGATCATAAAATCCAATGCAACCACAGGAAATTCATTAATCTTCCAGAAAAAAAAAATAACAAAGTGGGAGTTTCAGGTTTGTCTTTCTTTCTCACATTCTAAAATCTTCTTTATAAACAATAGTAAGAATCAAATACATATCAAGTGCTCTCAAGTATGTAAAAGAGGTCAATTATCTTTGAGGTTAAGTATTAGTCCATATGTATACCATAGCTTTGATGTGATGAACAGCTCACCACGCTGAACTACGCCATTTGAAAAGAGTGTTTTCAGTGCCACCCCTATCTGCATCAAATGCAAACTCCCTTGCATCAAGAAAGCCAGAACAAACAAAACCCCCTCAAAACAAGAATATTAGCAGACAAAATAAAAATTGATATGGATTCTCAGCTTATTGTTATCGAATTTGGGATTAAGAAACAACATTTACCTCTTTTTCATTATCATATACCCTAGCACAATCTATATGCCTGTAACCAGCCTGCACATAACATAGGGAAATTTCAACCAAAGCAGAAATTAGCACATGAATCTCCTTCTCTTGTTGCCAACTTTCACTCAATTGAAAAAAGACAAAACTTAGATATAGTATCATAGTTCTTCGATCAAAATTGAAGTTTCATTTTCGCAATATGCATTTATATTTGATCCAGGCCTTGATAATGTACATTTAAGCAAATTATCAAAATAAAACTCTACTTTTGATTGGAGAACAACATCAAGAGTAGCTATATACCATATCTAAGTTTTGTCAATAAAGGGACAAAATTCAAAGAAAGCACCTTGACTGCGGCAATAACAGCTTCACCCACATCACCTGGAGGAGCTTTCCATGTTCCAAGACCAACTGAAGGAATTTTTGCACCAGTGTTCAGATCAAAATCTAGAGGTCCATTTGTAGTTGCTTTATTCATGATCTCCTGCATAAGAATCAAAAAGATTAAACATGTATTTAAAATTTAAAATAATAAACTCATGCATACAGATTTTAAATCCAAATACCCTTTTGGAGTCAAATTGCTAAAGACCTTAAATTTTATTTTATATTAACGAAGCAAATATATATGTATGGTGCGTGGCATGAGGCAAAGGTTAAGGCAAAAAAGATGGATCATTGGATGACTCTTAGCATGAAGTTCGGAGAAACCAATGAAAAGAACGGAAGAAGGAAAATTGGCCTTACCCAAGTCACGGTTTAGCAACGGGAATTCACGTGATAATGTTTGACAAAGTGAGATAACTCCGACAAAAATCTAAATAATAGCTTCAATATTTACGAACTCACCAAGTTCCAATTAGTCTCTGCACCTCCTTCATATTGTTTGTCCGAGGTTCTGGGTTGCATTTTATATTAGTTATAAAATAATAAAATAAAAAAAAATAAAAAATAAGCAAGTTAAGTAAAACACGGTTCAGATTCGTGAAAGTGTACCTCACTGGTATATGATTAAACTAAAAGATAATTTTAATTTTAATTTTAATCCTTCAATTTTAAAATTAATTTTTTTAATTTTTTTAATTTTAAAAAAATTATTTTAATCTTTATACTCAAATTTTATTAAAATATTTATCTCATATAAAATCTATTGTTCGGTGTTTCTTTCAATAAAAATATTATATTAAATATAATTGATATATTATATTAAATTTATCTTATATTATTAATAATCGTCTATGTTATTAATGACTTAGAAAATTAAAGTAAAAAATTTTAAAATTAAAAATAATAATTTTAAATTTGAGAAATAAAAGTAAACTTATTTTAAATGTTAAAAGAATATATATATATATATATATACGTGAATTTTTTTCTTCTACTTTTCAAATTTATTAAAACATTTTCTAAGAGTCTTTCGATACGTCCTCAAAACATAAAGAGTGTTTCAATCTTATTTCTACTTTTAATTTTTGTTTATGAATTATTTATATAATAATCTAAAATATTGTAAGGATTTTTAATTTTTTTATTAATTTTATATCTATAATCCATAACCTTGTTTAATTTTTTTAAAAAAAATCGTATTCTATTTTTTTTCATTTGTTTATTTTGGTTTGTTTTATTTTCTTGCAACTAATTATTTTCTTTTTCAATTATTTTTAATTATTCTAATAATTACGAAATCTCTTCATATCTCATTTTATTTCTTCAACGTATATATTTTTCTTGTGTTCACTCTATAAGTAGGTATATATTTATTTGACATCACTACAATAAAATTTATTATTATCGACAATTATTTAACGACAATAAATTAATTACTTTTATTTTATTATTCAATAAAAATATTAATGACTAATAGATAATGTCCACTAAAAATGTATTTATATCACACCAAAAATTACTATTAGCGACAATTATTTATTGGACAAAACTTAAGTCTCATATCGACTATAAATAAGATAATTAAAGAGTATATAAATGGATAATAACTCTCACCTTACAAGTTTGTTTTGTAGGCTTAAGTTAAATCTATAACTTACTATTTTAAATTGATATTAGATTACTCACCATTACTATAGTCTCCAAATTTGAGGTGTGTATTGGAAAAATTCTAAATCTCATTACATCAACTATTGATAAAATAATTAATTAGGAGATAAGACAATTAAAAAAATAAAAAAAATTAAATAATATATAAATAGAAGATAACTCTTATCTTACAAGTCTCACATCGACTAGAGATAAGGTAATTGAAGAGTATTTGTACTCATCTTACAAGTCCTACATTAACTAAAAAATAAAAAATGACACAAAATGTTTTAGCGACTATTATAAGGGTTTTTACCAGCATTCAAAATAATTGTCGTTAAATGTTTTAGCGCATATAATGGCTAATGTAGAAATGTCGGTAAAAGATTTTGTAATAATTTTTATTATCGCTAAAAGTCATATTAAATGCCACTAAAAATTTATTTTGTTGTAGTTCATATAGCTATACATAATTTTAGTGTTAATTTTGAATGAAATTTAACAACATATTTTGTGTCACTATAGCTTATACACACACTTTTTAACAATATACCAACATATATTGTATTTGTTGTCTAGGTAAAAATAGTTTATGTATCACTATAGGGTGTATGTTATTATATTGCAATTTCCTTGTAGTGTACATGTATTAATAATTTTATAGGTTCGTGTAAAGTTTACTATTTTATTACAATTTTTCCTAATTTATTTAGTTTTTTATTAATTATTCCTACTCCTTTTTTTAGGCATTTATTAATTTCTTCATCGTCAAAATCTTTTTCTAATTGGAAAATGATTTCTTTTATTTTTTTTTAATATTTTCATCTTCATCTATTTCTTTTTCTTTGTTTATTATACTTAATGGGTTCTCTTATATTTTATATTTCCTTTTGAATTTTTTTTATATATTGTATTATAAGTATATAATTTGTAATTTTATTAGTATTTTATATTATTAAAATCACGTTGTTATTGGTATCTTCCATTAAAATTTCTAATTCTTTAAATTTTGTTTCAATTTCTTTTTATAATGTTATTATTTTATTTTTCTCTTCGAAGGGTACTGTACCCATCATTTTTCATGAATACCGTAGATTTTTTAAATTAAAATAAATAAATAAAAATATCTGTAAGTATAAAACATTTGTTTTACTTAATTTAAAATTAAAAATATAAATTAAATTAAGTAATCAAGTTTATGAACATAAATGAAATAATTAGAACTTATTTAATATTTTCTTGTGTTTAGAGACCAAAGTGCCACTAATAAATGAATAACTTGTCTGTCATAATCTAGGAAAGAAGTTATATAATTGTGTTTAGATACATTATCATCTCATATTCTTTCAAAATATTTTTAAAAAAAGCATAAATATCTTTAGATATATTTATTATTTATATAATTATGATGCTAAACCATTAAATTTTTACATTAACACTCTTGACTAAGTCGATAAGTGATCAATATAATTGCCCACATATATTTAATTATAATAGTTTATTTTAATCATTTTTTGGACTAAATTATACATAGTCTGAAAGTCTTAGGCATATAAATGTGAAGAGGTTCTATTTAGTTAAGTTATGTTTAGGTTAGTTTTTTTTTATGAACACTTCACGTGGTGTCTCAAAGTTAATAACTAAAGACTAATTTGTATTTGCAAAGTGTGACTTCCGTTAACCAAACATTATTTTAACACAATAAAAATCGAACATAAAATCACTAGGTTAACCCTCCATGTCTCAGAGTAAAAATTGTTAATTTTATATTTAAGTTACTTTAAAATTAAACTTAAATGAAAACTTAAAAAATAAAGTAGAAGTTATTTGATAGTTTTTTATTTTTGTTTTAAAACTTCTAAACTAAAAATTATTCAGTAATTTAAAATGAAAATAATTACTTCAGTCAATGGAAGAATATATTTATAATAAAATAAAATATTATGTAAAATTAATTTAATCAATATAAATTTATTTTAATAATAACAAAAAAAATGCATACATTAATTCATCAAGGATTGGAGAGTGGGAGAAAGTTTCAATCAATGAATGAGAGTGAGGGATGCTGGTGAGTAAGAAAGGGAGAAGTGTGAAGTGGGGTGTAGAATAGAAATTTCACACAAGAAAAATAAAATGATGTAAGAATAAAGAAAAGGAGTGTGAAAATAACATGAGTCTTATTTAGAACATTTTGGATCATTGACCTCAATTAGAGCATTACTAATTACTATTTAAGTCTTCATGTCGTAAAAAAATTTGTTATTTGACAAAAATAACTGGCTCATGTTTGACGAAAAAATTCCTTTAACATGTTGAGGTCTTAATATTGATTATATGAATGGTCTAGAATTTTTCAACTCATTTAAAATTGTTACTTATATTTATTTTTTTCTTAATAAATTAAGATACACCAATATTAGACTAATTAGACCTAACGACAGTAATGAACACATCATAAGCATGAAATACTATATCATATGATATTTCAATTCCTTTTGTTCATCTCTCAAACCATTCATCTCTACAATATGTTAAATTATCATAGTTGAGTGTGTATCAGTCATGGTCCCATTCAACAACATTAATTCAATCAAACACAGACCTTTCAAACATAATTTAAATCTCACACAAGCATCAAGAACAAAATTAAAGACCAAGGTAGCCAATTTGACTATCATAACATCAATAGGCACAAAGCACATTGTATTAATATATTTTGGTAGGCATTACAAGGAAGCGAATTAATATGTTTTGATATAAAATAGAGCAATTGATCTAATATTCAATTTTTATTGTCCCAATTTAATTTAATTAAAAAATTTGGTCGCAAAACCAGAGTTAATTATTTTCCCTTTTCAAGAAGAAAAATAGAGTAGCAAACCGTCTGCATTGTTAAAAGACTATATTGAGAGTAATAATAATAATTATTTCACTATTGCACGGTTGAGCCATGTGTGTTTGAACAAAGCAAATGCCTACAAAAATGACAAATGTGAACCTTGTGCATATGCACGTGTTGCGCAGTATAAAAATGAGACGATGAGACGTGAGAACTGCGTAAATGACCTCCCAAAATGGACAAAAATACAATCCAGTGGATGGATCGTCACCGATTTAAGAGCGAGTTGATGATATCATCATAAGTTGATTGCATTTTCGATCTAAAATTATGACCAAACCAGTCACAAGTCCAATTCCCAGTTGAACCTGTTAGACTGACCATTCAATTGGAGTTTTAAAACACTGCACCTAATTACTATTTTTGAGAAATCTTCTATTTTGTTCTTAAATAACATCGTGAAGAATTGTCACAATTATACATGTATATACCCATTATGCAATACTTACACCTTTACTTTGGGATTGCTTTTTAAAATTACTAGAGGGGTTCACTTGTATCTTGGGTATTTGCTTATCTATTAGCACTAGGGTGTTATAAACTTTATTAATGGCATTAAACTAGTTTAAAGTACATATCTAATAAAATCCAACATAATTAATAAAAGATTTAATGGAGATGTACTATTAATATAAAAAAAATTACATTATCAATCAATTAAAAATCACTATCACTATAACTTTTAAAATAAATTTATAAAAATCAACAAATTTACTATAAATAATAATTGCGATTGAATAAATATTAAAAACGTTTTTTACTCTATCGATACATAACTTTTTTTTCCTATTAAAAGATTCCCTAGCAATGTATACATAAAAGATTTTAAGAAAAAAACTCATTTCAATGTCCTCTGCATCACAAAAACAATTGTAGTGATTACTTGACCAGGATTGGTCATGACTCATGACGAATCCCTACGAGTGATTTTTTTTCCCTGTATATGATCTCTCCTGCCTCTGCTGGCTGAGGACAGTAGTGGGACATCCCTGCAAAGATTAGTTATTTCCTACGTTATTTATACTTTAGGTTCGAGCCTTAGGCCACCGTCTATTAAAAAAATTTGTTAAAACTATAAAAACATTTTCTGAGATTTCCATTATACCCTCAAAAAAGCAGAATATAGATGAATTGTATGCATGAATCAAGAGTATATAGCAGCACTCCTGATGGACTATATTTATCCGGCCAATCTATAAATTGCTGAACTAGCATCTCAAAACAAAGGTAAGAATGACTGGGGGAATCACCCAAAGTCTATTGAATGAAGGGTGAAGGTAAATTGCAGGGGACAGCCTAAACAATCCTTTCACCATTCAAGTTTTTTCAAATTATTAGTCTACACTTCACCAGTAATTCTCATAATGATACTACAGGACAAAACATGCTTGTACACCAAAAAATAACAGGCTTTGTCAACATTTCACGATATTAGGAGAAGAAACCATTTCTTTTTAAAATCACTTCTCAACGAAGTTCTTCAGGTTCTTCAACCACATTACATACTCCTTGTTGTCTTTAGCAAACATGTATTCCTGCAAGAAGTTGGTTGTGCTGGGCTTGATACCCCTGATCTCAAGATACTTGAGAAAAGCCTTTTGCAGATTTTCATCCAAATCACTGTAATAAAGAATGAAGGAGAAATACTCAGAAATTACGAAAGTGACAAATATATGAACAAATTAGATAAACCAATATATCATATAAGCCTACACTTTTATGAATATGCTTGGATAAACTTTTTCAGAAGTACTTTTAAGAAAGAAAAATAGGAAGCAAAAATGACATAAGTTTTTCCATAAGCTAAAACTATAAAACTAACTTATTCATGAGTTAAAAATAAGATTTTATAGAAGCTAATAAGAGAGTTTGTACAAATTTGCTTATTCATTAGCTAATTTTAGTTTATGAAGAAACTTATTTTATTTTTTCTTTCTATTGTTATCTCTAGATGTGTTTTTGGTGAAATTTACCCAAACAGACCCTAAAAACTTACGTGAACTCCGGCCCCTCGTATGCCAGCTGGTCTTCAGATTCTTCAGACTGCTTTATTGACAAGCTATCAATAGAAATCTCATCAGGAAAAGCAGTCACGCCAAACTCTAGACTGACTCCATTTCCTTTAAAAACAGTCACAACTAAAGGAATGCTAGATTCACTATCATTCTTCTCACCATCTTCGTCATCCTCATTTTCTTCAGGTGCTACATTAGGGATGTCAACTTGAACTCTGATAGTTTCATCCCCATATTGTCCCTTTAGATGTATGGTTCTTTCCCCAGGATTGTCCTCAATCTCAAAAGGAAAATCATCTGGGATTTCAACCTGGAAAAGGTATACAAAAAGTCAATGAAATCAATGCATGACCCAATATGACTATAAATACCAAAAGATACTCTACAGGGCAGAAACAACAAATGACGTCCCACAACTATCCCTGACCATAGATGCTTTTGGTACTGCTCTACAAGGAAAATTCCTTCCACCTTATATTTTATTTGTTAAAATACACAAAGTACATTTCAGGCAAACTAATCAATAGATGACTCCCAGAAATTTCTGTTAAGTAAAATCTTGAAGGTTGACTTCAGCGCAATTACTGAAGTACATTTTCTTGTACCAAAGATACCTTACACAACTCAACAATACTATGAAGTTTTCGCAGACTAGTGCAAAACTTACATCGAGAATAAAAAAATTATAAGCTTCATTTCAGTATCACCAAAAATAAAGAACTGCATTCAAAGAGCTATTGAAATATACTTGCAACATATACTTTACAGAACTCAAGAAGTTTATTTACCAAACTAAAATGAAAGCATATCTTGAAATAAAACACTGACATCAGTCTAAAAGATTTGAAATGAATAGAGAACAAAATGTAGTCAGAACACTAAACATTCACAGATAAATACGCAACAGTAGTCAAAGACCAAAAACTTAAGAAAAAAGGTCTAATTATCCTTTTAGTCCCTATAATTGAAAATATTTCATTGTAGCCTTTATACATACCATTTTCGTTTCTTTTAATCTCTATAGTTTCATAAAATACACTTTTTGGTTCCTACAGAAATAGATACCAGGGACTAAAAAGTAAAAGAAATGGTATGTATAAGGATTAAAATTGACCACTTTTAACTATAGAGATTAAAAGACAAGCTAAAGCTTATGAAACTATATGGATCAAAAAAGTAATTAAACCAAGAAAAAATTCACACCAGCAGTAGTTATAATTTCCCCAATAATTTTGATAGCTTCAATGACACGTCCTGCTACCAATTCATGACAAAAACACAAAATTACCAACGCCCCATTTGAACACTCAACTATTCCAATTCATCCACGTCAACTATCTCTAATCTTCAAGCTTCACTCAAAATGAGAATCCCCTCCACCCAATAACCAATTTAAATTAACAATAATTATTTTCAAAACTTTCACCCTTTTCAAGGAAGACAAGGGAAATTCACCACCAACAACCAAGCCTTATGCCATAAACGACGTCATTTCGCTCAACCGAAATAGGAGCAGAACTCACAACAAAAGCCAAAAGGAGGAAAATTTACTAGCACACCCACCTTAGATAGAATTTTATTTCAAACCCAGAAGAAAAAATCATGTAAAATGAGAAAACGAAGGTAAATTACAATGAATAGTCACAAAGAAGAAGGAAAAGGAACGTTGTAGACATCAAAATGGTAACAATAAGAAAAAAAGAAAAATTACCTGGTGGTTGGCATTATCGTCTTCGAGGGCGCACTGGAGCTCTGATTGAAGCACTTGAGCAAGACTATCGTCGGCACTGGCCTTCGAAACGAAGGTGTTGGCGAAACGAAGAGAGGGAGCAACAGTAGCTGCTGTCTCTCTGTGGAGAACAGAGAGAATGTTCTGGAAGGTTCTAGAAGATGAAGATGCAACGGCGCGGCGCGCCAGCTGAGGCATCGCGGCAGCGGAGGCGCGGCGGAGCATTGCGTACATGGCCATTTCTGTGTGCCCAACAGAGACTCGAGGCGCAAAGCGAAGCAAAGGGTTTAGTGTTAGGGTTTTGGGTTTGGGTTTACCTTATTTATATAAGCGCCAATATTTATTATTATTATTATATCAAATAAATAATAAATAATAAATAAATATAATTGAAACAAATAAATATAATTTTCGTTGTAATTTATTTACTTTTATTTATTTTTATTTAATTGACTCAAAAAATAAATGAATTAAAAAAAAAAAAATTTATCTTATGTGAGTACAATATTATGGGTAAAGGGCATAAAAACATGTAATACCCTTTTACATCAAATACAATATACCTTTTTACATCAAATATAATATACAATCAAGTGTTTTTAAGGTTATTGTAGTTTACTATTTGAGGGCTTTTTCAGTGTTTTATTTGTTGAAGGACATTATCATCCATGAAATATTTCCTTTCTTTCAACGGTGCCTTTTCTTGATTTTTTTAACCTATTTCTATGCTGACTTTTTAAATGCAAAGTTGATATCGTACTTTTTTGTGTGTTTCTTCATGTTCTTAACCAGTTTTGTACCCTATTTTCGTGCTTCTATGTTATCCTACTCGGTTATTGGTTTTCACTTTAAATTGTTTTCAATCCTTATCTTTGTGATGGGTATTATACAATATTCACTTTGGAGGTGTTGATTGAAGCTTTTACATGGTGGTTTAAGGTTTGCGTCGATGGACAGTGCAATGCATTGTTTAGCAGGTCATGCATCCTTTGACGGGACTAATGGAATATGCACTTCACCGACCTCATCGTTGACCCTCGCCTTGTCAAAGGCACTCAAGAAGTTCTATCAGCGGCCATGAGTTGCAATGGAATACCATGGTTGAGGAGTTGGAAGCATCTAATTCCAACTAATGAGTCGAAAACCACATCATGAAATGTGATGATAGCTTTGCATGCGGAGGAAGCGTTCTTTGTCATGAGAATGAGTTTCATCTTCGATCATGGATCTTCTACTTTGCTATAAAAGTGTGAGAGCTTTTTTTATTTGTTTATTTATTCATCAATTTCACTTTTGTTTTTTCGATCTATTTGATTTTTAGGTTAATCCATTAAGTAATTTGTACATTAGATTTGGGTTATCTTTCACATTGTTGGATCTACGATTGTATGTGTTTGTTGCAACTTGGATATGGGTTATGTATTTTCTCACCAATTTGAGGCTTGGCCTAAAGTTAGTAGTGATATGATGGGTATTTTGGTTTAATTGTATATGCGATTAGAGTTGTTGGGTCAAAAATTTTGTTCTATGTTTGTGTGTTTTATATATTCCATTTGTGTTTTTTGGTCTTAATTTCAATTATGAATAATTTTGTGTTAACGGATGGCCTTGAGCCACATGTGAGTCTTCTATAAATCCATGAGACTCCTTTCATTTGAGTATGTTGATTAGTTATGTTTGAGGGGAGATATCAAATTAAATCAAATACATTATACAATGGAGAGTTTGAATAAAATCAAATACATTATATAATCGAGAGTTTGAATTGTTACTGTAATTTACTATTTTGAGGATATCATTGGGTTTTTTTCGTTTTCTCAAAGGTATTTTTGATCAGATCATGAAATTTTATCAACAGTCAAGTTGGTGATGATGGATGTCCACGAAGAGCATTTGAACATCACAGTGGGATTGGATAAGGTAAATATTATCGCCAACTAACGAATAATTTCTTTCTTCAACTTTTGTTTCTATAAATAATGATATCAACTGTCTTAATTGCATAAATGAATTCAAGCATGATGGTGTTGGACGTGGGAATTAGGGTACACAATCTAATGAAATTGCCAAGTAAGCAATTCTTTGTATTCATAACTTTAATATCAATGAAAAATTCATATCACAATTCCCATCAAAGAATCTTGTGTTTTTGTTGGTGGTTATTGATTATATGTTTCCTTTTGATGTTAAATGTGTTTAAGGTGACTGAGGAAATAGTTAATGAGTCTGAAAAGAATTTGGATGAAGAGAAGTTTTCTAGTGAGGAAGATGCAACAAAAAGAAACAAGGACGGTCCTATTATTGACAATGAAGAATAGGAGCCTGAGGATAAGGTGGATGGTTGGTTCATTTAAAACTCCTTGTATTTAGTCTAAATCTCTTGCTGCATCTTTAAAGTTTTCTACACTTCATGATCAAGAAACAAATAGAAGATATGTGTCTTATTAATTAATGACAAATCGTACAAATTAAGCTTTGGTGTTATGTGTAATGATCTGAATTTTGTTGGCTACTTTATTTACATGGTAGAAGCTCTAACTATCTTTTCCTTAATGATGAATTTTTGTCTTAGTCTAGCTTTGCTTTCATTTTGAAAATGTTGGGATTTCAATTGCATTTATTATTGTTGCTAATACATTTTGTTTTTGGTTATATTTGAAATTTATATCCTCTAGGTTGTTCATCAATTACTTAATTGAATCTAAAATGTGTGGTAGGAGATGACACTAAAAGATTATGAGAAAGTACTAGAAGAGATAAGGAAAGTTTTACAAACACTCAATAAAGGATGCAAACTAAAATAGCCAAGTCACTTATCATGCACCTAAAAAGAAACCATACACAAGTCACCTTATTTTCCTTCAATAGTATAATAAGAATAACAACATAAATTTTGGGTTTACTATTTCATCCTTCAACGATTAACACATAATTGCTCATAAATTTAAATGAGGAAGTTATATCCAAACAAAAAATATAGAAATTTTAATTTTTTTTCTTAAATTATGTTTCTTATTTAAAATATTTTATCCAAACACACCGTAAAAAAATATTCAAAAAATTTCTCATAACGTAACACTGACGTAATACAACAAACACAACATGCATTTTCTTTTATGAAAAATTCTATTGTACACTTGAAAATATGAACGATTTTGAAACTTTTTATTTTCTTTTAAAAAAATATGTGAACATTTGATGTTTTAGAATAATTAGAATATATTTATTATTTTCTTAAAATTCTTAATATATATATATATATATATATATTACATGAAACATTTGAATTTATTAAAGATATTTTTTTTATATATCATAAGTCATGTTAAATCGGGACTTTTCGTATTTATATGTAATCTTAAGAAAAAAATTGAATAAAAAAATTCATAAAATCTTCCTCTACTTCAACAAATAAAATTTTATTATGTTTTTTTTTTCTAAATTATTTTGAATTTTACAAAATGATTTAAAATATTTGGACTAGTATTTTATGAGAAAAAAGAGTAAATTAATTATTTAAGTTATTTGTTTGTCAATGACACATCACTTAGTGTAGATAAAAAAAAATAAAAATAAAAATATACTTTATGTCATTTTTATTAATTTTAAAATTTGATTGTACGAAAACATTCAATGGAGTTCTCATTCGTCACCATCCCATAATTCCTCCTCAAATATGTTACTCCCCTTTGTTTCATGGACTAAGAAGCTAGCCTTAAGTAATCTTTCCTGCAAGTGCAACAACAAAAAAATCGTTGTCAAAAAACTTGACTAAAGTTCCATAAAAAAAAGTGAAAAAAAAAAAAAAAACCATTCATACGATCCTTATCAAAACCCAGTAAATGGACATCAAAATTCAAAAACAAGTATATGTATAAATACATGGACAATATTAAAATCTTATTGAAATATAAATTTACAAACATTAGTTATCATGTTAGTAGTAATTTTTAATTTTAATAATTCATATAATGTCAAGATTTAATGTTAATTAGTATTATATGTCTCTCCTATATGTGTGTAAGAGAGAGAAATCAACCTATGTATACTGTGAATAAGTCTTGTAAACTTACTTTAACTTCATATTTTATTTTTCTTTTTACAACACAAATTTGATAAATCTAGTTGTTGAATATCGTAGGATATCATATGTATATCTTTTTATAATTACCATTTACTTATATGTTGAAAAGTATATTATATGTTATATACAATTGATTAATGAAACATCAATTAATTTTTAAATTATATAAAATTTGTATACTTAATATACTTTGTAAGAATGTTCAATATAACATGCGAATATCAATGAATTTAAAGTTTATAAAAGGTTATTATTTAGAGTAAGTTATTAAGACCATATTTACTCTTCTCTAGCAAATAAATGAAAACGAAAGAAATAGGTGATAAATAAATAAATAAATGTTAGTTGAAGAGAAGAGTAATAAAAATGTATTTGACTCATTAGTTTTTTTTTTAAATAAAACTTGAAGTACAATTTTTTTAAGTGCAATTGATGTTGAGGTTGGAATTTTATCTCAGTATTATATATAAATGTATTTAATATATGTCTCATTAATATGCATTTATGTATATTATTGAATTAAAATTCTAATTTTGATAGAAGAACAACACCAATCACACTTATATATAGGATTGTACTTAAATTTTGTCCTTATTTTTATTCAATTTCTCACCTATTTATTTTATTCATATTTCTTCTTTCTTTCTCTTAAACTAAACACATTTATTTCTACTTTATTTTTTTATCTATTTTGTTCACTTAATAATAATAATATTATTATTATTATTTATTATTATTATTATTATTTTCATGCACATTATTTCTCACATTTGTCTTTCCTTTCTATCAAGTCAACCATAAAATTGAGTGGGACACTCCTAAAAATTAAACCTCACAATTTCTAAAATTGCTTGTTGATTATTTCTGCTACTTCACTATATAAATTTTTTAAAAAATTATTTGCTCAATCTAAGTGAGGAATGTGAGTTGGGTAATTATCATTACTTATGTATGAGAAATTTCATTCCTACAACTCATCTTTTCTACACTTATGAAATATATAGGAGAAAAAAAGGGAAAGTGAGGATAACAGAAACACCAGGACAAAACGTAGGTAGTAGTAAAATGTTGTTGTAGAAAAAATGTGTAGGCCTCATCTACTAATATATATGTTAGACCTTGATCAAATAATAGAAAGATTCAAGGTAACCATTAAATATTTACCTGTTTGATCTCAGAAAGTTTAGCAAGCAAGTCCTCGGGAATAGACCAATCAAAAATATCAAAATTTTCCTTTATCCTTCCTTCATTAAAACTCTTAGGAAGCACACTATGGCCCATTTGCAATCCCCATCGAAGAGCTACCTGTGCAGGAGTCTTTCCTAATTTCTTTACGATCATATTTATAACTGGATGCTTAAGGAAATCACCTTCTAGCCAAGAAGGAGAACCCAAAGGTGAATATCCCTGAACATTTGCAATTAAATGGCACATTTTAAGTACCAAAAATGAAGAAAAAACTAAGTGATGTCTTAAGTTACAAATAGGTGTCAAGTTATTTAGCTTTCAATGAAGTATTCATTAATTATTTTTCACTTAAATAATATTATGTTGAAAGTTATTTTTGTTTTTGCATCATTTCTAGTAAAAAAATTAATCATGACTAATTATTTTATAAAACACCATTCTCTTTTATCTATTTATTAAATTTTATAAATGTGTAAAATAACTTAAGACATTACTTAGGAGGGAGAAAGTATTTCATGCTAAGTCATGATGGATCAATAACCACAGTTAAGTGCACAAAAGAAAGAATATAATTCAAGATGTGCAAACTTACAGAAAAATGGACACCCTTAGATTTGCAAAAGGCCTTCAACTTGTGTTGCTGCCATGCAGGATGACACTCTAATTGGTTGACAGCAGGAGGAACACGAGCAACCTCAAGCAATTCTCCCAACTTCTTAGAGGAAAAATTGCTTACACCTATAGCTTTAGCCTTTCCACTGTCATACAAAGCTTCCATTGCCTTCCAAGTGTTAGGTATGTCTGCTGGCACAATGTTTTCAACCTTAAATCCCACCGATCCTTTCTTCATTCGAATTGGCCAATGAATCTTAACAAGGCAAACTCATTAGTATACAATTGATAATTTTACAAATAATCAAATATGAATACCCCACAAAAATACACACACAATAATGCACCATATGCTTAGCCCCTTTCCTTTGTCATAAGATTCAAACACTGAGAAAATGTTTAAGATACAAAATAAAACTACTTTATACTAATTATGCAATATGAATTTTGAGCAGAAAATAAATTGTGCATATTGCTTCTAATTCAACTTCACTATTTTAATCTTATCATTAATTGATGTAAAAACTTGAATAGCTTCTTTCACCCTCGTGTCAAAAATTGAACTTTAGAAATTAGTTAAGATTTATTTATTGATGCTTATTAGTCAGTTACTTGCTTACTCTATATATAAGTCATATTAGATGGCTTAATGTACTCACCTTTCTCGATTCAATATATATTTTATTTTCTAGTTTAGTACATTTTCTCTCAATCTTCTGTTCTAAACCATGAACTCTGTCAACAACTCAGAACTAAACAATTACACAAGAATAACTAGAGAGTAGTGGTTAATACATACAAGGTATAAATCTATATAATCAAGCTGCAATTCTCTCAAAGTACTATCAAGAGCTTTTGGTACATCTTCCGGAGCATGATCTGTACACCTGCACATCATCTTAGTTTCAGGTACAGAGAATTCTGAGTTCTAGAGATTGAAAACTAACAAATTAACACATGATTCTACTTGCATGAATTTAGCTTTAAAAGGGAGAGATAATCAATTTAGAATTCAAATAAAACCAGAGTTTAGAGGTAATCCATAAATCTTCTCGCTTGACTACACCCTCCTCAAATAACTTTTTTAATGTTGAGCCAATCTACAACAATTTCAAGGCATCATTATATGAGAATCACATGAGTAGTGAAACTAAAAATGTTATATAATATTGTAAATAAGATAATATTTTTGTTACATCATTTTTGTAAATGATCTCAATAGATAAATAGTCTTTATTCAGAATTAAAAATGGGTAAAGATGGCTTAGGTGTATGATTTACTCCACTATGATGGTTGTCCTAAAACTATTTAAACAATGAACACCATAGTGTGAATTAGGCCAGAGTGTAGCTAGTATAGCATAGTTGAATGGGCCACTAAGTATTATCTATGTGTACAAATTAACAAACTAAAAGTAATGTTTCACGTGCATGTAAATACAGTAGCAAGGTAGTGATTTTATTTAATTGGGACAAAATGAAACCAAATAATAATATAGAAAAATAGGTTAGCATTGATTGTGACAATTACCTCCTTCTGGTTGCCGTAGAGTTGAGCACAATCAATATGGCGGTAACCAACCTGGAGCAATGAAGCATGCCATTAAATATGATGAGTTAACTAAAAATTAAAATCAATTAGAATCGTCAAATGCAACAAACCAAGAAGAAAAAAAATTATAACCACAGGTAATTGCTTATTCCTTTCATCACACAGTTCAACATATTGTTGGACAAAATTTGTTGCAAAACAAGTCTCACGTTTGTGGATTAGGAATAAGTAGAAAGGTGCATAAGTAAAAGACTATCGTATTGATTTGCTAAGATAACATTGTACTAGATAATATGAACAAGTAATTCACAAAAAAAAAAACAAAAAAAAAGTAATATAAATAAGTTTAATCACTTTTTAACTCTAATAATTTGTCAAATTTTACTTTTTAATTCTTATATTTAGAAATAGTCATTTTTAGCCTTTGCATATAAAACTATTTTTTTTTTCATTTCATTGTCTATTGTTTATTTTGACAAACACCGTTATTAAGTACATGACATGAATTGTAAATCTTAATAAATTTATTTTATTTAATAGTTCATGTCTTTAAAATATTAGTGTATTTTATTTATTAATATTAGTTTTATTTTAATTTCCTAAAATATTAAATGATGACACATGTAAAATTTCATTAGTTAGGTTTGTTATTTAAAGTGAAGTTTGTATCATATTGTGTATTGATGAAAATCATAATATTTTTTTTTATTTTTTTTATTTTATAACTTCAGCTTGTAACTCTTTAACAGTAGAATATTAGTAGTAGTGATCGATTAGATATTTTCTTCCTACCACTACTCTTATGTTTTTACTCAATTTCTTTTGTAACAAGCCTAATGCACTCGAAGAAATGAAGAAGGGTACTTTTCATTTCCCTCCCACCAACTCAGCCATGTCTTACACTTCATAACGGCGTCTGTCAAGGACTCAAGAACAAAAGGTAGGGACCCAAATAGAAAGAAAATTGCATATGTAAACACTAATACATAATATTTTAAATTGTAGAGACTAAGAGTAAAATTTGATAATTATAAAAATTAAAAAAGTAATTGAATCATATAAATATAATTATCTCATGTTTGACTTAATAAAAATAAGCAAAATATATAAAAACTCAATCTTTATTACTTAATCATATCACATTTTTTTGTCATAGACATATTTAAAGGATTACAAAAAATATTTATACTTATTTTTTTTAATAATAATAATTATTTTTTTTGTTGTTTCTTCTCTATTATCAATATTATCATTATCATTACTATCATTATTTTTATTATCATTAACATCATTAATATTATTGCAACCATTATATCTTTATTATTGTCGATAACATTATCACTATTATTGTGTGCTATAATTTTCCTTTAGACATATAAGTTAATAAAGATAGAAGTTTCCTCTTTGTTGGACATACTTTACAAGAGTATCATGAGTTTAAAATGCTAAAACTATTTTTGGACAAATAGATCACTTGTAAAAAAAAAATAGAACTAAAAAAAGGGAGTGAACTTGTAAACTCGTAAAAGATTATGAATTATCACGAGTTTGAGAACCATGATTTAAAATATAACTTTTGAAAATTGACATTAATTAGATAAATGTGTTGAGAATAAGACAACCCAACCTATGGTTTTAATGGATAATAAACAAAGTATTGTAATGAATTAGTGTGTTGTTCGCCAATATGCTTTCTTTGGGTAAAAAAAAAAAAGTGGCAAATTTTTGATCAAAAGTTATAGTATAATGAATATTGTCCAAAGGCCATGTCATGAGCACGAATTGGCTCAAGACTTCATTATCTGATTATTTTACAACAAGTATGAAGAATTCTTCATTTTATGATTTAATGACAAAAATTAAGAATAAAGGACACATTTTAATGAAGTAGCAATCTTGAGCATCGTGTCTAACACAAAAGGAGGGAAAAAATACAGACTTTCAATAAAGTCAACATTTACACACAAAAATGGGAATTTCAACTTGCTCTCATTTTCTAATATCTTTATAGGAACAAAAATAGCTTTTAGTGTCTAAACGTATGACAGCAATGGTATTGCCTGAAGAGGGTATGGCTTGTATAAGCATACTTGTGTAAAGGTCAAAGAGGCTTAGTAACACAATGTGTAGAGCTTGGAAAGATACAAGATAAAATGCTTGTGTAGAGTCTAGATAGATAGGCTTGGGGAAGAGTACTTGAGTTTGAGCTTAATTAGAGAAACTTGTGAAAAATGTTTGGTTCTAAAAATTAAATTGATGAATTATCTTAGTGATAATCTTGGTTGAGTGTCAAATATTAGATGTGGGTAGAGCTTATTTAAAATTAATATTAAAATTATATATATTTATATATTAAATAGATTTATATTTACATATTTTATATTTATAATGATATTTTTTGTATGTTATTGAATGTAACATTAACTTAGACTTTAAATATTTTTTAATCTAAAAAAAATGGTATATATATTATTGAGGATCTATACAAGAGTAACACATAGGTATGGTAACGGGTGGGACTGAAGCAGGTTTTATGTTCCCGTCCTCATTCTCGCATATTTAAATTGTCCATGTTCCCATCTTCGATATGACAATAAAATCTGGGTACTCATGTTTGTTCCCGACCAGATTCGAGTTTCTCCGCCCTGCCCTCGTTCTTGAACTTTTTTTTTTGTTTCTAATAAATTTTAAAAAATAAAAAGTAAAATAATATAAATTTTTATATATAAAAATTTTTAATTTT